TACCATGTTTGCCTCTCTTGCTACGCGTCGGGATGGTTTCTTTCTGTGCCTTCAATAAGGCTTCTTGAAAATACTGTCAGCTCTCCTGGACTCCTTTCTCCTTCATGTTAACATCCCAGGGGATTCTGCCCATCAGCTCTCTAAGGCAGTCAAAATCTGCTTTTCTAAAGTCCAAGGTGTGTATTTTACTACTCTCTTTTCTTCCTTGGGTCAGGACCCTGAAATCTACCCTCTCATGATCACTGCTTCCCAGATTGTCACCCACCTCCACTTCCCCTATTAGTTCCTCTCTGCTTATGAGCAGAAGGTCAAGCTGCGCACGGCCCTGGTCGGATCCCTCAGCACTTGTACCAAGAAGTTATCCCCAACCTTCTCCAAAAACTGGATTGTCTGTGTACTGCTGTATTGGTCCCCCAACAGATGTCAGGGTGATTCAGGTCCCCTACAAGAACCAGGGCCTGCGATCTGGAAGCTTCTCTCAGTTGTCCAAAGAAAGCCTCATCTCCCTCATCCACCTGATTCGGTGGCCTGTAGTAGACACCAACCACAACATCACTGCTGTTGTTTGCATCTCTAAACTTAACCCATAGGCTCTCAACAGGTTTTTCTCCCTCTATATACTGGAGTTCTGAGCAGTCATAGTGCTCTCTTACATATAGTGCAATTCCTCCTCCTTTTCTCCCCTGCCTGTTCTTCCTGAACAGTCTATACCCTTCCATGACAGCGCTCCAGTCATGCGAGTCATCCCACCAAGTCTGTTATCTCAATTAAATCATATTTCTTGGACTGGGCCAGGGCCTCCAGTTCTTCCTGTTTGTTGCCCAGGCTTCTCTCATTGGTGTACAAACACCTCAGATAACCAGTTGATCGCCCTATCTTCTCCATTCGAATCAGGGGTCCTCCTTTCTTGCTCGTTCCTCTTTGCATTTCTTCCCAGTATCCAACTTTCCCACTCCACGCGGGTTTTGGTCACCCTCCCCCAACAAACCTAGTTTAAAGCCCTCCTCGCTAGGTTTGCAAGCCTACCCGCAAAGATGCTCCTTCCTCTCTTGGTTAGGTGGATCCCATCTCTTCCTAACAATCCTTGTGCCCAGAACAGAGTCCCATCGATGAAGAATCGAAAGCCCTCTCTCCGACATCACCTGCGCAACCACGCATTTACTTCCTCTAATAAAGGCGGCAAGGGTGGGGGAAGTGACTAGTCATTTATATCCCTACTCCTGACTGTGGTTGTCCAGGCTGCTTAGTTCTCTGCATACACTGTGATATTTCTAGAAATCCATGCCTCCTAAAGGACAGTATGTGTACTTGTATGCAAGTATGTGTACCTTGCTTTCTTTCTAGAGTCTATGATTGGTGTAAGCAAGCACATTGATTCTTAGGGTGAAAGCATTATAAAGAAAATATATTAAAAACATTACAGGAAACATGAATGCTAAAAAGCTTACCAAAGGTCCCCCCACTCCAATTTGGGCACTGACTGGTATGTGTCAGTCCTTCAAAACTCAACTGGATTTTCACCATGGTTACCAGTTCATATCCGTCTCAGCTCGGGCCTTTGATTTTGGCCCCTTGTAACTAGTGATCAGCAGACGATGGCTCGCTTCTCAGGACATAGTTTCAAAAGGCTGGGTTTTTGCATAATCAGAGGTGGGGAATTTGCATTCATGTCCCAGGAAAATCACTCCCCACCTTTTGTTCCAAAAGTTAATTCTTGTCTGGCATGTTGTTTAATAAAGTCCTTTGAACCCCCAGCTCTCACATTCGTCACATCTCCCTGTCCTCCTCGTCCTGAAAAGTTGCATGCAATCTTGGTCCACAATATTACATAGTAAACCATTAATTTAAAGCAGTGGATCCGAAAGATATTTTAACATAATTCTGGAATATCTGCCAGTGATATTGTAGGAAATTGCCATATCTGTGTCACAATTTCTGAGAGCAGCCTGTGCTGGGGAGTGGTTTTCCCACATATTCTTCAGTGATCTATAAACCACTCAATTGTGATACATTAAGCCAGTGTTTTTCAACCTTGATTAAAAAAAGTGCCCCTTTAATAAAAAAAAAAAAAGTACCCCCAATACCTACAGTTCCCCCAGTACCTACAGTTTTCAGACACACAATTTTTTTTCTACCATTGCAACACATTTGTTTAAACAACTTAATTGTAGCCAGGCGTGCGATGAAATTTGTGGGTGTAAAAAGTACAAAAATAATAGTGCTGTAAAACTTAAAACAAAAATTCAGTTTTCTCCAAATTTCAGTTGTTGACGTAGCCCCAGACTTCTCTCGAATTTCCCTAATGGTACTCGTACCAGTGGTTGAGAAACACTGCATTAGGCTGTTTGGCTTTAGGAGCCATGTCTTTATCTTTGGAAGCTAGGGTTTGAAAGTCTCTGTTTAGTGCTGTGAGAGAGGCCTTGTCCTTGCATAAAGCCCAGTATCCACCAGCTTTCATTATACTTTGCTTCTAACCCTAACACAAGTGCAAGAAGCCCCCGGAGCTGCCTTGCCCTGCTGGGTACCCGGCACTGCAGTTAGCACTTTTCTTTGTTGACAGGGTTTTCAGGTGCTGATTGAATCAGACTGGCTCGATTTTGGTCACAAATTTGGTGATCGCTGTGGGCACCACGAGAATGTGGAAGATCAGAACGAGCAGTGTCCAGTGTTTCTTCAGTGGCTAGACTCCGTTCATCAGCTGCTCAAGCAGTTCCCCTGCCTGTTTGAATTTAATGAAGCTTTCCTGGTAAGAGCTGTGCAAGCAAATACCTCTTTATTTCTTTCTAAATATGAGCTCAGGCACAAGGACAGCTAAGGAAAAGCAAAGTGGACTTAGGCAAACGTGAAAGATGTTTTATTATGGCTTGGGTTTTCTAATGAGGTGTCTGAGGAGGAAAGGAGAGAAAATGCATATCATTCCGTCAGTGAGGCATGTAAACCATGGAGGTTGGAGTAGGGAGCTTTTGCATCAGTACAAATCCTTACCTAGTTAGATTGATTCTGGTGGCTGCACTGTTAATACTGCCAGTTGATGTCCCTATTTGCTTGCTTGCCTGTAATTGCACTGCTCAACCTAGTTCTGTTGTAAGGTTTTCGTCTGTTCTGATGGAACTTTCGTGGTGTCTGTGTTCCTGCTCGCAGACTTAGCTGTCACTGGGAATTGTAACCCTGTAATGGCTTTCCATATTGATAAACACCACATCATAGTCTTTAATCAACTTTTCCATCCTGTTACATGTTTGACTGCTCTTCATCCCAATACACACACACCTTCCTACCTATTTCAAATTCTGAGTTTGTTATAGAACTACTAGAATGGTTTTGCTCATTTTTGCCTGCTGGCTTGTATTTTAATGGATGGTCATTCTTTTGTAAATACTTTCTGTGAATAAGTTGCACTCAATTCCCAACTTTGATTTTAAAATTCATGTTTTGCTCCTTGATTTCCAGTGTCCCAAATCAACCTATTGAAGAGTAACTGCAAATTTAATAAAACACCCAGCAAAGAGCTCTTGAATTTTTTTCTCTATATATGAATTAATTTGATATAGTTTGCTTTTTTATTTGTTTGCATTTTGTGCTGAAAGTGACACATTCTTGTAAAATGGTTGATTTGATTGCACAACATTGTTCCCGTCATGCTTGGACACCCTTATGATGTATTCAGTTTCAACCATGTTACAAACACATCTACTCTCTGTACATTTACACTTGCACTGGTGTAAGTATTTTTAAGTAGATGCATTTTAGTTCTTCACAGCTTGTTAATACTTTCATTTGGACAGGACAGCACAGCTTTGCTAAGCCCTGCAAATGTCTGCTGTTGCATGCAAAGTCAAGCCTTCTTGCAGTATCCTTACTTTAATCTCGTTGTCAGTTGCTTCATAAAGTAGTCTCTAATTAGTCCATATGTTAATTGTTCAAATTGATTAAACTTAATTACATAGATCTGAAAGAGCCAGTTTCTTGAGAAGAATATGCCTTTCCTGAGTGACATTCTGACCTGAATTGCTGTACACGTGACACTGCTGAATGACTGTGTAGCAATTTGCAGTCCCCTCATTCTCATTGGGATGTGTACTTCAGGGCCTGCCATGTGGAATAATTTCACCTTTCCCACTGTCTCTGCAATCCCACTTTGTTTCCAAGAGAATTTGGAAGCACTGCAGCTGCCGTCTCCCATTCTCTGCCAGATTCCCTTCCAGCCTGAGGGATCCAGGTGGCTTCATTTGCTCCATTTCTGCCAAAGCCTTTGTTAGGAAATAAGGATCTGAGACGCAGCAGTGCTAAGTGGGGTGGGAGTTTCTTCTCAGAGGCCCTGGCAATTGTTCTTTCCTCTTGGCGGTGCAGGTGAAACTGGTGCAGCACACATATTCCTGCCTGTATGGGACTTTCCTGGGCAACAGCCCCTGTGAGCGAGAGATGCACAACATTTACAAACGCACCTGCTCTGTGTGGTCGCTCCTGAGAGCTGGCAACAAGAACTTTCACAACCTCCTCTACATGCCTGGCACCGAGCAGGTGAGTGGGAGCCCATAACCCAGCTGTATGGGCTTGTGGCCAGCAGCCAAGACTGGCTGGGAAGGGTAGTTGGGTTGGAGGGAAGGGAGGCTGGTTTGCCTTGGTTGGGAAAGAATTTCCCTTCTGTCCTGCCCCTCAGTGTAAATGTCTCCTGCAGGTGCTGCATCCAGTGTGCCACGTGCGAGCACTACATCTTTGGACAGCAGTGTACCTTCCAGCATCATACCCCTGTCCTCTTGGGGAGGAGGGCATGGACCGTTATCTGCCCCCGGGATCCCAAAGCCAGGAGTTCAGTGGCAGATCTCTGGACAGGTAGGGAGAAAGGAGGACCAGTCCTGGCCTCCCTTTCCACCATTGTCCTGAGTTTCTTTCTGCTTCGCTTGCTGACGACACAGACCCCTCCCCCCCCCCAGAGAAGCACCCAGCACCATGGCTCTGAAAAGACAAGATCTAGAGCAGGGTCTCTCAACCTATGGGTCACCATTACATTTCCAAAGGGTCGCCAGGTGTCTCCCCACGTGGCTCTTAAGGAGCCAGTCACTCACTTTTTTTGAATTGTCCTGGGTCACCAAGTCTTCCTGAATTGTCAAAATGGGTCCCCCTCTGGAAAAGGTTGGGAGCTGCTGATCTAGAGTGTCCTGAACATGCATGTCACCCCTCTCTCCAGGGTAGCCTTGGGACACCTGGAAAGGAGCGCCCAATTCCTTGCCATAATAGAGATTTTTTGATTGCTCCACTAGAATGTGCCTGGGGTGGCATTCCAGCGGTGCAAACACTAACAGGTCCTCAGGTGCAAGGGAGGGGGACAGGTGCCCAGACGTGGTGCTGGCTGCACTAGGAAAGCCTATTTCTCTCCCTAGCAAGCAGCGAGAGGAAATTTGTGTGACAGTGACTAGCTGACCTGTGTGCACTCAGCCTAATTCTCATTCTGCCTTCACCTTCACACCAGGGGAAATATTAGCAGAGGTTCTTGGCTGGTTAGACCCCTGAAGTCCCAGTTGTGAAGTGAGTAAAGCAGGGGTGGGATCCCTTTTGGGGCTGGGAGCCACTGACCCACAGAAAAATCAGCCGGGCTGCACACACACGAGACACAACCACAACAAAACCCCCCCAACCCCACCCTCACTGACGTAGTGCCCCAACTGAGGAGACACTCCCCACGTTACCTTGCACACCAGAGCCTGGGGCCCAGCCTACTAGATTTTGTGTGTTCTAGCTCCATGGTGGGGCAGCAGAGGGGCAGGAGTTGCCAACGCAGGCTTTCCAATGCAGGGACAGCTCCATGGTGGGGCAGCAGGGGGGCAGGAGTTGCCAACGCAGGGGGAGCCCTGAGCCTCGGGCCAGATCCAGACAAGCTGGGGGCCAGGCCTGAGGTTCCCCACCCTTTGATTAACACAAGAAATGGCAGGCAAAGAACCCAGAACCAGTGCCCCCTTTTGACATGTTTGCTGTAAATCTAAACTCCAAATAATGCAGCCCTTGTAACTGCTCTCTAGTCAAACCTCGGTGCATCCCACCCTTAGTCAGAACCCTCGCCATGCATGTTGGCCACTTCCCTTCTCCCTGTCTCAGGCAGCAAATGCCCCGGTGGCACAGAGCAGCAGGGGCTGGGATTTTTGTCTTAAAAGGTCCCTCTCCAGAGCCTCCGGCTTTGTTTCTTGGCTCCAGGTTACCAAAGACAAGGTCTATGGACGACCTGCTTTCTGCCGGTGACTCCAGCAGCCCGCTGACCCGTACTTCTAGTGATCCAAACCTGAACAACCACTGCCAGGAGGTCAGGGTGGGCTTGGAGCCCAGACATGGCAGCACAGAGGACACTGGGCTGCACCTTGAGGAAAGCAGTGTGATGGCCATGGGAGAAACACAGCAGGTGCCAGTGGAGCAGGGGAAAACTCTGCCCCTGAAAACCACGGCAAACGCCAACAGCCGCACTGATCAGCAAGCGCACTGCAAGCTACCCAGGGGCTGGGCGCCTCCGCCAGCAAGCAACATCTTTCTCGAGACAGAAGTGGAGCGCAGGGTGAATCTGGAGGCTGTGGATGGCATCAGTCCATCTTCAAACCATCCTGGACAGGAGAACTTATGCAGGACTTGTGTCAGAACTGGGGAGCAGCTTGATTCCTGTCCCTATAACCCTTCCAAAGCAACTGGCTTGGAATCCAATGGAAGCTGGAATGTTGTGAACCACCCTAAAGACACCCTAAATCCTGCAGTGGGCATTCCCAGCCAGGACGCCCAAGCAGCAAGTGTCTCTTCTCAGAACAGCCCAGGCCCCACGCCAGGCATGCTGCATCACCACAGAGACACTGGCAGCGGTGGGCACTGTGAGGAAATGGGCCAGGTGGGGACGGTGCCGCTGGAGCAATGGCAAAGGCCCATTTCCCAGAGCCAGACCAGTGAGTTCTCTCTCCTGGCTTCCAACTGGGACAGTTTCCAGGGGATGGTGATGTCACTCCCCAATGGGGAGACAGTAACCAAGCGGCTGCTTTCCTACGGTTGCTGTAACAAGAGGGTGAACAGCAAGCAGCTGCGGGTGCCAGGGCTCTGTCTAAGTAGCCAGTGGTCTCCAAGAGAAGGTGTGAAACCACCAGTCTGCTCCGGCCATCCTAGCGCACATTGTGCAGGTCCTGCAGGGAAGCCAAGCCGGCTGTGGTTACCCTGCCATGTGAAGCAGGTGTCTGGCTCCAAGCATGTGCCACAGAGCAGCCCTTCCCCTGTGCCTCCCCTCTATTTGGATGACGACGGGCTCCCCTTCCCCACAGATGTGATTCAGCACAGGCTGCGGCAGATCGAAGCCAGCTACAAGCAGGAAGTGGAGCAGCTGCGTAGGCAGGTGCGAGAGCTCCAGTTAAGGCTGGATATACGTTACTGCTGTGCCCCCCTGGCGGAGCCCCAGATGGACTATGAAGATGACTTTGTGAGTAACAGCCTATCAAGTGCCATCTCCCACAGTATCTGACCCACTGGTGAACTGGGACATCTTGCTCGCCCCTGATTGCATGGGGAGCATGTGTTCTCTTACCAATCACTTCCTGTTGTATGCAGGTTTGAGGCTTAATAGGATAATGATTCACTCCCCAGCTCCTTGGGTTCTACATTCCCCTTGCCTTTGCTTCCCAGGAGATAACGGAGTTCCTCCTCTCCGAGATACCCTAGGAGAGCGAAGGCCAGGAGGAGGTGGTATGTCTAAACTACATGGCTCCATCGATGGAGATTCGGCTGATCGGCAGAGGGAAATGAAGCCACGATTTAAATAATCGTGGATTCATTTCAATTTAAATGGTTGCCGCGCTCTGCCGATCAGCTGATGATCAGCTGTTTGTCGGCATATCGGGGCAATCTGGACGCGCCGCGGTCGACAAGGAAGCCTTTGTTGACTGGCCAGCCTGGTTTCACGAGGCATACCTGCGCCAGTCGACAAAGGCTTCCTTGTCGACCGCGGCGCGTCCAGACTGCCCCGATCTGCCGACAAACAGCTGATCATCAGCTGATCGGCAGAGCACGGCAACCATTTAAATTGAAATGAAGCAGCAATTATTTAAATCGCGGCTTCATTTCCCTCTGCCAATCAGCCTAATCTACATGGCTCCATCAACGGAGCGATGTAGTTTAGACACATCCCTAGCGCCCAAGTGTGCTATCATCCAGTCTTCCTTTTATTTCCCAAGACCTGAGGAATGACACTGGGGAGCAACAGTGTCTCTTGCTCCTTTAGGAGCCATTTTGAAGGGGTGGGAGCAGATACTTCCCTTTTGGTCTATTCTGGAAGTGGCTGGTTGGCTTTTGTGACTCTGGCTTTTTCTCTGCAGACCTGTCTAAAGGAATCGGACAGCAGTGACACTGAGGACTTCTTCTCTGATCACAGTGAGGACTGTCTGTCTGAAGCAAGCTGGGAGCCTGTTGATAAGAAAGAGACTGAGGTACATCTGTGCACAGCTGCATATGTATCCGGGCGGGGGCTTTGTCTGTTTGAAGGTGATAGATGCTACAGGATAGGATGGACACTCTGCTCAGTGCAGTAGTTCCTGTTGTGCAAGCTCGCAGGACTGGGTCTTGGCTCCCTTGCGAGGTAGGCTGTCGGAGGATGTGGGGGCAGGCTTTCCTGGGGGCAGTTCCATGCTCTTTGGTGGTAGGTGAGGTGTAGGTTCACCAGGCTGTGCCTCTGTGCCTTGCTTTGCAAACCAACCACATGACTCAACGTGCTTTATGTCCCAGTATCATGCTGAGAGTTCTACTCTGGTCTCAAGATGTCCTCCTCACAGTACTGTTTTACAGGCCTGTTACAGGCTCCTGAGGTGAGGTGCTAATGAAGGCTGTTGTTGTTCTTTAGGTCACACGCTGGGTTCCAGACCATATGGCATCACACTGCTTTAACTGTGATTGTGAATTCTGGCTAGCCAAACGAAGGCACCACTGCAGGTAAAACTCATACCTGTTGCATAGCTCCATTGTTCTTTTCTATCTTCTCCCCAATCCCTGAGGGTACTTCTACACCGCAGGCTTATTTCAAAATAAGCTTTTCCAGAATAGTTATTCCCAAATAGCTTATTCTGAAATAGCATGTCTACACTGCAGGGAAGCATCAAAATGAGTCCGAGGCAGGCTTCCCTAATGTAGTCGGACTGTCTCGATTTAGTGCCCCAGGAGGCACTGGGAAGGAATAACTTAAAATGGTCCTGGTGAGGGGCTATTTCAAAATAGCAGAAATGGAGCATCTACACGTGCCTTATTTCAAAATAGCTATTTCGGAATAAGCATTATTCCTCATAGAATGAGGTTTGCAGATTTCAGAATAAGCCATACATTATTTCAAATTCATTTTGAAATAACGGAATGGCTGTGTCGACGCTCGCATTGTTGTTTTGAAATAATGCTAGTTATCTCGAAATACCAGTGCAGTAGAGACGCACCCTAAGTGACCAAATCTCTGTTCTTCCCTTTCTTGTCTCCTCGGACCTCCCAGCAAAGGCTCACTGATCACAAAGGGCAACACATGGAGGGACACTATGGGCAGGAGGAACACCATGGAGAGGTGGTCATGAGGCCGGTGCCCCCGTGTCCCTCAGCAGTCATCCCTGCTATCCAGCCATCCTCTTACATACTTCTCCTAAAGTTGGGGCTGGTCCTGCTTTGAGGAGGGGATTGGACTAGATGGCCTCCTGAGGTCTTTTCCAGCCTTAACCTTCTGTGATTCTTATCGTTGTCCTGGGGTCTCTGATCCTCCCTCTGGCCATGTCTACACTAAGAATGCAGATGGTGTTTAAAAACATGTCAGCTAACATCTCTTAACTCCCACATGGTTGAACATTACTGCAGACAGGTTTGAATGCCTTCAAGACCATGCTGGATGGTTGTTTGGTCCTAGACTCCGTCCCTTACCCCCAGTCTCTACGCAGCCTTCTTTTTTATGGAGATGTCACTTTGTCCCATTCCCCACTATCACTACTCTTTACTTTTATTACCTCTTAACAGGAATTGTGGGAACGTGTTCTGTGCTGGCTGCTGTCATCTGAAGCTGCCCATTCCTGATCAGCAGCTCTACGATCCAGTCCTTGTCTGCAACTCATGTTACGATCACATCCAGGTGTCGCGTGCTAGAGAGCTCATGAGCCAGCACCTGAAGAAACCTATCGCCACAGCTTCCAGTTGAATGCCAGACAGGGACGCTGGCCATGCCAAGCCTTTCTGCTCACAGATTTGAGGGACGGCTCTGCCTCCCCTGTAATGGTGAAGGTCTTTGGTGCAACATTTGAACACCAAAGTCAGATGCACTGTTCTCAGCAACCCTCCTTGATCCCATATCTGTCTGAAGCAGAGGAATTCAGATGAAACAGTACAGGGGGCCTATCTTGGTACCAGCGCACTCCTATGCTGGTCTGAAGACTTAGGGCTAAATAGGAGACCACAACCTCTTCCTCCTGTGGGTTGGAAAGTGATACTTCACAGATACTGCCTGTATAAGTACCCCCAAAGCAATAGGTGTGTTTAGACTCAGACTCTTCTTTCCACCGTACAAAAGGCAGTTTGTAGAAGAATGAAAAGGGTGGGTTCTGAACGGTACCTCTGTTCTGTGTCCCTTCAGAATATCTCCACGTACAGGTTCTGTTGCTTCTCTTTCCATGGAGTTTGATTCAGACTGGCTTTGTGGGTGAGGGGTCGGACCTCTAGCAATCACTGGGTTAACCTCTCGGGTATGGAAAAGGAATTCCTTCTCTGTGAAGACAAGGTGGGGCTTCCCTGTGAGGCCAAGCAGATCTCTGCCATTGTCCAGGTCCTGCAGAGAGTGGTGAATGCACTAGACTGTGCCCCTGCAGTACGGTGTGGAGAGACCCATTTGTTCTCTTCTTGCTCTGCCTGTCTACTTTGAGTCTCTTGCAGTGTCCTCGTATAGAAACATAACTTGTGTTCCTGTGCTGCTGCTCCTCCTCTTTGCTGCCTCCATCTCCTCCTTTTCCTCTTGCTCTTTATCCTGAAAACTTGACATCTTGAGGGTAGGCCGTAGTGTGGTGTGTTACCTCCTGGAATGTGCTATTTGGTGTGCGTGAGGGTTTCAGTCCAAATGCTGCTATATATTTCTGTGCACTTAATGTAACCCGAAGAAAGGAGAATGAAGCATAGAAACCAAATTGGGGGTAGGGAGAAAGCCGGCCAACAGAGACTGTACAGTCTGTTTTTTTTCACTCTAATATGGCACTTAACCAAAAGATACAGTAATGGGCATGGCATGCAGCATCTGCACCTGTGTGACAGAAACAGTCTCTGGTTCATTCCAACACCACTTAAGAGTCTTTTTGTGTCTGCTGTATGGAAGCCATAACTTTAGAATTGCCCATTTTGAGATCTGTAGTTAATGCCTCTCCGTTACTTCCATATGCTTCACACCAAGCATCCCGGCTCATTTGAGGGAGAGCTAACTAGGATACAAGCTTAGGCAGATGTGAGTTACAAGATGAAGATTCTGCTTTTTTCTTGGACCCTTTTGAGAAGTGTTTGATGCTTGGTTCTTGAGAAAACTGGAGGTATGATGGTGGGTGCAAAGAAAAGAGTATGGAACTGTGGGCATTTTTGTAGGTGGGTAGATTGTTTCTTTCCATCTAAACAAAGAGACCACAGATATCCTACTGAATATGAGTCCTCCCTGTCCAGTAAATAACCAAACACTAGGCTATTGAAACCATGTACTGACCTCCCAGTTCTACTTGTGAAAACCAGTGGTTTTCAAATTTCAGTTGAAGGGATAAAAGACAAATTCATTTCCTGCACTTTTACATTTCATCCTCCCTGGTTTTGTAAATCCAACAGTGAAAGCAAAGCTAGAATCCTCTGAAGAGACTTTATCTGCTCAGACTGTTTTGCTGTTCCATACTGAGGGCAAACAAGAGGAATGGGGGAAGGGAAGATATACTTCTGATTCTCCCCTTCCTGGTGTCTTGTTTTATTTCCATCTGTGGCAGACAGTGGGTTTAAGACACTGATCTCTGGTGAGAGCACAATTCCGATTTGGTCTAACTTTCCACAGGTGAAAGTGACTGCAAACAATTAAGGCAGCAGAGGGTCAGGGCATGTGTACCTGGATGTTTTGATTCAGACATGGTTAATCTAAACTGCTTTCAGCTCTTGTGGGTGTCAATGTCACAATGTGCTGGCCAAAACCTCCCACTCAGTTCAGTAGCGTTGTGACAGACAATGTGCTGTAAGACTCAATACATTTACAATAAAATCTCTATATTAGTGCTGCTGTGTTTGGCCCTGTTCTTTAGTCTGGATTCCAGGGGTTTCCATATAAAAATTAGGGCTGTCAATTAGTGGGTGTTAATGCCTGCAATTAATGCAGGGCAGAATTAACTGTTAAAAAAATTAATTCGGCCTAACTCGCATTAATCGCAGAGGGCAGCAAAGGAGCATGAGCCCATCTCTGGTAAGGTGCAGTAATGCAAACCGCCACCAGAGGGCGCAAGGAGAAACAAAGCAGCCAGAAAGGAGGGGAAAAAACCCTGAAACTGTGGTTCCAGCTCCAGAGGAGAAGTAAACAAGAAAAGTTAAGACCCTGATACCCTCCCTCTCCCCTCCCAGGTGCCCATATTTTTTTTTAAATAAAACAACCCAGGGGGGTTGCCCAAGATGTCCCTTCCTCTCCCAGCACGGCTCACCCAAGCCACCCTCTCTCTGCCTCCTGGGGCTGGGACCGACCCTCCCCCCCCATCTAATTCTGGGGCTGAGTCCCCCCCCTGAATTCTGCACTGCTGCCCCCATCCCTGAGCCCCCCATCCCTCCGGCCCTGTGCCGCTCACCACTGGGGCTGAGCTAAAAAAGGACTCTTTTGAATAAGACAAATATATTGATTATATAGAAGAATTTAAGTTCTTCGAGGAGTGTCCCCGTGGGTGCTCCACCTTAAGTGCTTCAGTGCCGCTGAGCTCGAGGTTGGAGATTGTGACAGTAGTACCCCTGGCCAGCCACACGCACAGAGAGTCTGCGTGCGCATTCTGAGGAAGCGACTGCGCATGTGCGGGCAGCCTCCCTCCTGGGCAGCCTCCCTCCTTAGTTCCTTCTCTACTGCCATCAGCTGCGGTCACTGATCAGCAGTCTTCCTTCAACTACATCTTTCCTCTGTACTTACCCAAAAATTACCTCAGGAATTCTTCCTAATAGCTATAACCTAACTCTTCAGAGTCTAGTTTCTTCTTTTAAAAAAACAAAAAAACAAAAAACACACCACCAAAAAAAACTGACACAGCGCTGGACAAGCGCGAAAAGCCATACGCTAAGCCTGCACAGTCCGGCTCTCAGAGACATGCCAGGCTCGTCTGGGTTTAAAAAGTATACGAGCTGCAGTCTATCATTTTCAATTTCTGATGGGCACACGGTGTGTGTTCGCTGTCTGGGTGAACAACACCTCCCTGACAGTTGCCCACAGTGCTGAAAGCTCACAGCTGATCCAGGAGATCGAGGGAGCTACAACTGAAGCTGCTGTAGATGGAGAAAAAAAGCTCAGTCAACGTCTGATCTAAAGCAATCCGCTCCTCCCAGACAAATATCATCTGGGACAGAGTCGAAGGTGGCGGCGCATACCGGGTCGAGCCCTAAGGACCGTGAAAACAAGAAAGGGTCCTATTCTTCTTTGGGGACTGACTCCCTATTGAGGAAACATGCTCCCCACAAAAAAGTTGCACCGGCAACCCCGCAGATGGGGTATAATAATCAGACGACGGGAACCGGCAAGGAGAAAAGCCGGAATCCTAAACACTCACAGGGCTCCTCACAGAAACCACTTGAGGCAAAGAGCAAAGCCTCCACAGTGGCATTGAGCCAAATAGCTGTGGTACTGGCTTCTTTGCCGAGCAGACACCACTCTCACAAGACTCCGAGAGTGAGCAAATCAACAAAGGCAGCTCCGCCGGCACTGCAAGTGTTCCTGGCACCACTTCCGCTTAATCAACTGGCATTCCCAATAACATCGCTTTCCATGCCACAAGCTGCCTGCCTCCCACTGCGTAGCTGTTGTCACAGTTTACGATTGCAGCGGAGTTTTCAATCAACTCCACCTGGATTGCCTTTCCTCGGCACTGGTGGTACACCAAATATCTCACGGTGCAACCTGTAAATTTCACCGGCTAGTTCTATTGTCTCCTCTCTGTGACAATGAGGAGATGTCTACAAACCGTCGCATTTAAAGCGACGTACCTCTCAAGAAGCACAAAAACACACCCAGCAATGGCAGATACCATAGTAGTTCCCAACTCAGTTTCTGCCTACCTGGCCATGTTGGGACCCGTGGGCAGCCTACAGGCAACAACAGCCTACCCAACCACAGCAAAGGAGCCAATCACCAAAGGCACAGGCACCAAATAGCCATACCATAGAGCAATACAGCTCTGATGCGGAGGAACAGGAGCTGGACTATATAGGTGAAGAACAGTGGTCCTCTCCTTCTCCACCCACGCAGAATTCCTCCACGTCTCCAGAGGATACTATCATAATCCAGCCACCAAATACAGGTAACGATTTTAGGTTGTTTCAAGACCTCTGTAAGAGAGTTACTGACCCTGGAGATCTCTCTCTGATGTGCCACAGACACAACACAAGCTTACAAACATCCTGTCATCCAAAGCCTGCCATTCCCATGAATGAGGCAATCATTTACCCTGCCAAAAATATGTCTCAAACCGGCATCAACCACCCCCACTTCTAAGCGTGTAGATAGGAAATAATACGTTTCTCCCAATGGGGCAGAATTTCTTTTCTCTCACCTGGTACCAGATTCCGTCATAGTAGAAGCCACAAACCAGAGGGGAAAACAGACAGCATAAATAACTCCATATGATAAGGACTGGAAGAGATTAGATGCAATGGGAAAATTGCTAACTATACCGCATTATTAGCAAAATACACACACCAGATCTTTGACCAATTGACATCCTTTATTGATTTGCTGCCAACAGCAAGAAAGATCAATTTAAAACACACATTAAAGAGGGCAGGTTAATATCCCATACTGCCCTGCAGGCCGTGCTGGACTCTATGGACACAGCAGCCGTAGTAATGAGATAAGCCTCCTGGTTCCAGCTGTCAGGATTTCCCCAGAGAGGTTGTCCACTGTAGAAGACCTCCCATTCAACAGTACAAAGCTCTTTGCAGAGTCCACAAATCCATCTCTGCACACTTTGACGGACTCGAGGGCTACCCTCAGAACCTTAGGTATTCAGGAACCTGTTGTGAGAAGAAAGCAAAACAGGTCATTCCAACAAAGATACACACAACATTCAATCAACACCAACGTCAATACGATAACAGACAACATCAGAGACCAAACAGATGGAGACAGCCCACCGACCAAGCCTTTGCCCAACAACCTTCAACATCCAGGCAACAGTTTTGAAGCTTTGGTCGAGGGTCTGATAGCCCTGAAATCTCTCAAGCAGCAATCTACCTCATCCACACTATTTAGCAACAGACCAGCTCGTGGTACCAAATAACATCAGACCACTGGATTCTTCACTTGGCAGAAATGGGATACTCTCTCCAATTCTCCTTTTTCCTTTCCTCCTTCCCTGTCCTCCTTCAGGGACCCTTCTCACGAGATACTGCTTCTTCAAGAGACTGAACACCTACTCAGCCTTGACTACAGAGGAGGTACTAGAACAACACGGGCAGAGGATTCTATTCTCACTATTTCCTCACCACCAAAAAGTCGGGTGGCTGGAGACCAATTAGATCTACTTACACTCAACTGCTTTGTTAAATACCAATGTTTCAAGATGGTCACCTTTGACTATACCACCAGCCTTAGAGAAAAGAGCATGGCTGTCTACCCTTGACCTTCAGGATGTTTATTTCCATATATCCATACACCCGGCACACAGAAGGTTCCTACGTTTTACAATAAAGAAGAAACACTTCCAGTATAGGGTGCTTCCATTCGGACTATCAAGAGCCCCAAGAGTATTTTCAAAGATACTGGCAGTGGTCACCACACATTTACACAAGAACAGGATCTTAGTATTCCCATATCTTGACGATTGTCTCATAGCGAGCTGCACACAGCAAGAAGAGCAGCAAGCAGTCATGCTGGCAAAAACACTCTTCGAAAATCTCGGTCTACAAATAAACACCAAAAAGTGCATTTTGACCCCAACACAATCACTGAAGAGTTCATAGGGGAACATCTGGACTGCATGAAAGCCAGAGCTTACTTGCCTCACCACAGATGGGTGACCATCAAGGACCTGATAGCAACAGCACAGAACAGTCCAATCATGATGGCAAGATTATGCCTGCAAATATTGGGACACATGGCAGCGGCAATGTTCGTAGTACCCTATGCTTGACTTCACATGAGACCACTACATGCCTGGTTATGCTCAGTCTACCGACCACGAACCCACCCATTACAAACGCATGTCCATACTGAACAAGATAAAATCATCCCTCGCGTAAGACAACATATGCGTGGGACTGCCGTTCCGACGCAGCATACCATCAATTACAATAATGACGATGCCTCACCCCTAAGATGGGGGGCGCACATAAATCACAAGGTGGTCCGAGGTCAATGGACTTGCGAAGAAACCACAAACTTATTGGAACCGAGGGCAGTCAGGAATGCTGCACGCACTTTCTTCCCCTAATCCAGAACAAAACAGATCAGATTCTGACTGATAACATCACCACGCTGTACTATATCAACAGGCAGGTAGGGGCACAATCCTTCCAATTATGCCAGGAGGCTGGGCACCTCTGGGAATGGTGCATCACAGAGAACATAACTTTGGTTGTAACTTCTCACCAGGCAAAGACAACACTCTGGCAGACAGTTTAAGCAGTTTAACCCGCAAAATCACAAGTGGGAGATAAACTGATCAATGGTCACCCACCTATTCAAGAAATGGGGATTCCTGGTGCTGGATCTATTTGCTACCCACAGGAATGCTTGCTGCCCCCTATATTACTCCTGAGCAGGCATAGGTCCCCACTCACTGGGGGACGCATTCAGCATATGATGGATGGCTCACCTGTCATATGCATTCCCCTGTTCCCTCATACACAGGGTGATATTGAAGATCAAACAGGGCAGGGCCAATGTGATAGTAGCAGTACCCAATTGGCTCAGGCAGACATGGTATCCTTATCTGCTACGTATGACCGACTGTCTTCCACACCCGATTTCCACTGGTCTCATCTCTCCTCACACAGAGGAAGGGCAGATTCCCCACCCAGACATCCACAAATTGCATCTTCAGGAGTGGATGTTAATTGGCTGAACAACCTGGAGAGATCCTTTCCAGAAGCAATTCAGTTCATCCTCAAACTCCAGAAGACCTGCAACGAGAGAGACCTACATCCAAAAATGGAAGAGATTCAAGGCCTGGTGTGCAACCCATATCTATGAACCCATACACACAGCAATATCACATCTTACAATACTTACTGGAAATACACAATGCAGGCCTCTCCATAAGGGTACACCTGGCCACTATCTCAGCCCTTCATGGCCCTATACAGGGACACTCAGTCTTCACACACCCTTCCGTCAAGAGTTTTTTCTAAAGGGATTCCACAATATCTTTCCTCCACGACAGGACCCAGTACCCAGACAGAACTTAACCCTAGTGGTGAAAGCTTTTATGGGGAAACCCTCTGAGCCCCTTGCTATCTGTTCGCTGTTATATTTATCAATGAAGGTGGCCTTCTTGGTAGTGATCACAGCCAGATGAGTTGGGGAGATGGCAGCCTTAATGGCTGCCCCCCCCCCTTACACAATATTCTGCAAGACAGGGTAATACTGGGAACACACCCTAAATTCCTCCCAAAAGTACTTGTTCCACTGCAATGAACCTATATACTTACCCAAAACCCCATAAGGATGTCAGAGGCAGTTCTCCATACCCTCAAGCAGCTCGTTTAGCTCTTTGTTTCATCCACAGAGATCACAGGGGCTACCCATATCAAAACAGACTACCCAAATGGATATCTGGATGCATAAGACTAGCATATGCCCTGGCACAGAGGAAGCCACCACATACAGTGCGTTCCCACTCGAGCTATGGCAGCCACAACAGCATTCCTACGCGGCGTGCTTACAGAACACACATGCAGCTCGTTTAGCTCTTTGTTTCATCCACAGAGATCACAGGGGCTACCCATATCAAAACAGACTACCCAAATGGATATCTGGATGCATAAGACTAGCATATGCCCTGGCACAGAGGAAGCCACCACATACAGTGCGTTCCCACTCGAGCTATGGCAGCCACAACAGCATTCCTACGCGGCGTGCTTACAGAACACACATGCAGGGCCGCCACGGGCTTCAACGCATACTTTCATGCAACATTACACAATCCAAACATTTGCTGAGGCGGACACAAGGTTTGGACAAACAATACTGTCCATCACAGATCCTCACCAGCAGAAGCTCCTGCCTCCCAGCAAGAATACTGCTTTGTAGTCACCTAAGGTGGAGCACCACGGGAACACTCCTCGAAGGAGGGAAGGTTACTCACCTTGTGCAGTAACTGGAGTTCTTCGAGATGGTTGTGTCCCCCTGGGTGCTCCATACACACTCTCCTCCCCTCTGCTTTGGGTACAACATACCCGGGTCAGAGAAGGAACTGAGGGGGGCCAGCCACGCATGTGCAGTAACTTCTTCAGAACGCACACACAGACTCTCTGCACGTGTGGCTGGCCAGGGGTACTACTGTCACAAATCTCCAACCTCAAGCTCAGTGGTGTTGAAGCACCTAAGGTGGGGACAACCATCTCAAAGAACTCCAGTTACTGCACAGGTGAGTAACTTGCCCTTCAGCTTTCATGATAGAATTTGCACTACAATACTTCAGTGAGGTGAACTGACGTGGGTTTTTTACAGTGTAAATGTTTTGTAATAAATATGAAGTGAGCACTATACACTTTGTATTCTGTTGTAATTGAAATCAATATATTAGATGTAGAAAACATACAAAAATATTTAAATAGATAGTATTCTTATTATTTTACAATGAAATTAATTGCAATTTTTTTTAAATCGCTTGACAGCGCTAAAAAAACCTCAGTAATAGGGGGACTTCAGCTATCTCTCTATTGACTGGGCATACATCACCTCAGGAAGGGATGCAGAGATAAAGTTTCTTAATCCCTTAAAGTGCTGTTACTTGGAGCAGCTGGTTCTGGAACCCACGAGAGGCAATTCTTGCTTTAGTCCTAAGGGAAGGGCAGGGTCTGGTCCAACAGATGAATATAGCTGAACATCATCCCCAGGGTGGGAGAAACACCCCAGCATCCCAATGCTGTGACATTTAATTTCAGAAAGGGGAACTACACAAAAATTAAGAGGTTAAACAAATTAAAAGACAGAGTGCCAAAAAGTAAAATCCCTGCATGGAAACTTTTCAAAGACACCATAAGAGGCTCAACTTAAATGTATACCTCAAATTAAAAAAAAATACAGTAAGAGAACCAAAAAAGTGCCGCTGTGGCTTAACCAAGTGAAACAAGCAATGAGAGATAAAAAGGCATCACTTAAAAGTGGAAAATCTAGTGAGGAAAATAGAAAGGAGCATACATTCAGTCAAAGTGTAAAAATACAACGAGGAAGGCCAAAAAGGAAATTTAAGAACAGCTAGCCAAAACCTCAAAGGTAATAGCAAAACTTTTTTCAAATACGTCAGAAGCAGGAAACTGGCTAAACAACCAGTGAGGCCATTGGATGATCAAGATGCTAAAGAAGAATTCAAGGACGAGAAACTCATTATGGAAAAACTAAATAATTCTTTGCATCAGTCTTCACAGCAGAGGATGTTGGGGAGATTCCCAAACCTGAGCCATTCTGTTTAAGTGACAAATCTGAGGAACTGTACCAAATTGAGGTCTCACTGGATGTGGTTTTGGAACAAATTGATAAACTAAACAGTAGCAAGTCACCTAGACCAGATGGCATTCACCCAAGCATTCTGAAAGAACTCAAATGTGAAATTGTAAGATTAACTGTGGTTTGTAACCTATCCTTAAAATCATCTTCTGTACCAAATGACTGGAAGATAGCTAATATGATGTCTATCTTCAAAAAAAGGCTCTAGAAGTGATCCTGGCAATTAGACTTGTAAGTCTAATGTTGGCACCGGGGACTGAAAATCATACCATACCAGGCTATGTCTACACTGGCATGATCTTGTGCAAGAACTCTTTTGCGGAAGAGTTCTTGTGCAAAAACTCTTCCAGAAGAGAGCATCTACACTGGCATGTGCGTTTGTATAAGAGATATGCTTTAGCGCAAGAGCATCCATGCTAGTGTAGACGCTCTCTTCTGGAAGAGTTTTTGCACAAGAACTCTTCCGCAAAAGAGTTCTTGCACAAGATCATGCCAGTGTAGACGCTCTCTTGGCCATTTTCACCATAGGGCTTTCTTGCACCAGAAATTCATGTTGCCTGTCTACACTGGCCTCTTGCACAAGAACTGGTGCGCAAGAAGGCTTATTCCTGAGTGGGAGCATCAGAGTTCTTGCACAAGAAGCACTGATTTAATACATTAGAACATCTGTGTACTTGCGCAAGAACTTGTGGCCGGTGTAGACAGCAAGTTTTTGTGCAAAAAACAGCTGCTTTTGTGCAAGATCATGCCAATGTAGACACAGCCCTAGAGTTCTTTGAGGACAGCAACAAGCATGTAAACGATGGTGATTTTCAGTGGATCTACTGTACTTAGATTTCCAGAAAGCCTTTGACAAGGTCCCTCACCAAAGGCTCTTAAGTAAGTTGTCATAGGATTAGAACAGTGTTTCCCAAATGGTGCTCTGCAGAACCCTGGGGTTCCACGAGAACCCAATCATTTCCCTCCTCCCTCCCCCAGAGACATATGTCTTTGTGTGCTGGCTCCATCTCTGGTTTCCTGACAGCTTTCAGACACCTCCCCTCCCCGCACTGCTACTCTGCATCCTCAAAGTGTGACTTACTGGTTTTTTGACAAATTTTCCTCCTGGCTGTAGGAGTTCCTCAAAATTCTTGAGTTTAAAAAGGTTCTGTGGCCAAATAAAATTAGGAAACACTGGATTAGAGGGAAGGTCCTCTCATGGATTGATAACTGGTTAAATGATAGGAAATAAAGGGTAAGAATAAATAGTCAGTTTTCAGAATGGAGAAAAAGAATTAGTGGTGGTATTCCCCCAAGATTCTGTCCTGGGAACAATCCTCTTTAAAAATGATCTGGAGGAAGGAATAAACAATGAAGTAGCAAAATTTGCAGGTGATACTAAACTACACAAGATAGTTAAGTCCAAAGCAGACTAAAGAGCTTTGAAAGGATCTCTCAAAACTAGGAGATGGGGCAACACAATGGCAAATGAATTTTAAAGTTGATAAATGCAAAGAAATGCACATTGGAAAACAATCACAACTATATGTACAAAATAATGGGGACTAAATTAGCTATTGCCACTTGAGAGATCTTGGAGTCATAGATAGTTCTAAAGCATCCACAAGGTGCAGCAGCAGTCAAAAAAGCAAACAATGTTAGGAATAATTTACAAAGGAATAGAGATTAAGACGGAATATTTTACTGCCTCTGTATGAAGCCATGGTATGCCCATGATGTTAGCACTGGAAAAAATTCAGAAAAAGGGCAACCAAAATTATTAGGAGTTTGGAATGGGTGCCATGTGGAGAGAGATTAGACAGGGACTTTTCAGCTTGGAAAAGAAGAGACTAAGGGAGGCTATGATAGAGGGCTACAAAATCATAACAGGTATGGAGAAAGTGAATAAGGAAATGTTATTTACTTGTTATAAGAAATAGAAGTCACCAAATGAAATTAATAGGTTAGCAAGTTTAAAACAAAAGGAAGTATTCCTTCACGTGATGCACAGTCAACCTGTGGAACACCTTGCCAGAGGATGTTGTGAAGACCAGGACTTTAACAGGGTTTAAAAAAAAATCTAGATAAATTAATGAAAAATAGGTCCATTAATGCTTATTAATCAGGATGTGTAGGAATGGTGGCCATAGCCTCTGTTTATCAGAGGCTGGGAATGAGCAATGGGTAGGCTTACATATTACCTGTTCTGTTCATTCCCTCTATGGCACCTGACATTGGCAACTGTCATAAGACAGAACATTGGGCTAGGTAGACCTTTGGTCTGACCTAGCATGGAGGCTGTTATATTTATGTTCATTTTAGATAATGCCCCATCCCCTGCCACAATCAGCTGCGATAGGGCAAAACAAACAAAAGCCATACTCTGACTCCCACCAAGCCACTCTGCCTTTTTCCTGTAACCCGCTGAGGCCCTTTCCTCCTGCCCCCAGGATTGCATAGGAGAGATGCCTAGGTGAGAATTTCCCACCCCCTACATCCTGCTAGTACAGCACATTCACCTGCTCTGGACCAGCGTGCTTACTATATCTTTGCCTAGAAGCAAGTCCCCTGAGCTTTCTCTCCCCATCCACAGGGCTGGCCTTACCATGAAGTGAACTGACTTGGGAGGAGGGACGCCACTAGGACCCAAGAGTGTAGAAAATGGTGTGTCTGCTGGTACATATGTATGCTCTTTGCTCTAGATGCACAGAGATGGGGGAGTGCTGTGCTGAAGGAAGGAGGGCACAAGAGACATAACAGGCAGGCAGGAGAAAAGGGGGCATGTGGGCATCATTTGAGCTCCCTGCCTCAGGTGCCAAAATGTGGGCCGGCCCTGCCCATCCACTTCAGGCAGGGGTGGTTTTGCTAGTTCCCATATAACCAGGTCAGAGCCTGGATCTGCCAGAACAGAATGCAGAACAGAAAGAACTACATTGTGTCACTTTCCTTGCAAGTGAGAAAGCTGGGTAAGCAAGGTGGCAAGCCAGAGCACTTCCTTCAAATGCTGAGAGTCAGCAGTGCTCCTCTGTGGCAGTTAAGGCCAGAAG